CATCTGATGTGGGGCAATATCATATTCAATCCCGTGAATGAGGCTGGAAGAATGAAGCATTGAGAGGAACAAATATGATGAAAAACAGTATGTTGCACGAGTTTGGTCAATACCTGTATATATATATAACATATGACAACCTAATCTAAAATTGTCATTCTGCATCAGCATTAGCTTCTTGCAAACCAGGGCACGACAAACAAACGTCGACTGATCCACAATAGACGCCAGAGAATACATAAACACGGTTTTGAGCTGAGTCTTACCACCACAGACTGTTTTCGAGAAAACATCTGAACCTCTTCGCCAGAACAAACAGAAATCATTGCAGAATGAATAAACCTGTTAACGTTATTTGGATTACCTTTAGTTTCTTCCGATTTCGAAAAAGTTTATCTATCACAAAAACCGCAGGCTGAAAGACCTGAGTACACGAGTGCGTCCGTATATCTGCGTTGTTTGATACTAACGCTCGGTGTTTGGAACGGTAGTGACGATTAAGCGCGAAGTCAGTTATAGCTGTTATGTACCGAGCTGCGGAATCAGCTAGCTACGAACATTTTGATGTATTGAATTCAATGTCGTAGTATTAAGTGTTCTCTGAGGTGCCAACGAGTCCTCTGGTTTTGTCACTGTTTTTCATATTTTCGCATCGTCTGCAAGCATTAACGGTTGTTGCCCCAGAATGTCCGATTATGTCGTTTATGAAAACTCGAAAATGTTGGGGGACCAAGCACGGATCCTTGTGCAACTCCTCGGGCTACGCTGAATAGATCATAAAGTGACCCAGAAACCCAAACTACCATGGTGCGTTGTCGAAGAAGTTCTTCTATCCAACCTAGTACAGATCCCCGAATTCCATAATTGTAAATTCCTCAGTAGCATTTTGTTGCTCACTCGGTCAAATGCTTTGGTAAAACAAGTTGGACTGTGCGATCCACAGTAATCACAGATCGGGATTTGGGTCAGTGGAGTGAAAATGTTAGTTGTGGTTTGATCAATTTGAAGACAGACACATATGTGATCAGTTGTTCTTGTGTGCATACCGAATATCAGTGTAGAGGTTGTAAAAAATAGATTCATAGTATGCCAACTGTTTCCATTTGCGATTAATTGACCTCACCGGATGATCTCTTAGAACTCCATGTGGAGAAATCAAGGAAGTCAGGTGTCCCGCCCAACTCGGTTTCCCAGCTGATTTTCGTATGAAGTTTGCCACTCATCGTCATCGAAAGACATCTTGCCTCGGTTAATGTGCTCCATTGGAGCTTTAGCGGAACTGGCAGATCACCTGAGAGATGTATAAGGATAAGCTTAATCCTAAATGAAAAATTGAAACGGTAGACCGTTTATGGTTTTTTCTACAAGCAATTGGACCGCCGTTTCAGAGTTGATTTATAGTTGAAGCTTAGATAAGGAAACGATTACTTTTGGAACAGTGAAACACCATGTTCTGTTTTGTTATTGAATCTAGATTTTTGTTATAACCAATGAATTGTTCCGGATAGGTTTTGTGCACCAAGGTTTGTTCAATAAAACCCTCTTTTGGTTGCAACTGGGTTAAAGTGTAACACTGCGAAATGTATGGAAAAGACTGTTTTAGTTACCTATACATGTTTTTATGCATAAATATACCTGTGTCCGTGCGTGTGTGAGGCACTCAGTGTTCCATCGCAGCAGTTTTTTCGCTTTCTTAGATAGGAAAACAGCTCTTTGTTGCATGTATCTGTTCCTGCTCTCTGATCGGCGAGTAACTATTAGGTACTGAGGAATCATAAAATAAGCACATCTGACTTATAAATCATGCAGTTCAGCATTCGCATTCAAACTCTTTATTCTGATGATAAAATCAATTGCTTTTTCTGTCATATGCCCATACTTTCTGGCATGTATCATGTTGAACACTCACCCTAGTCGTTGAAACATAAATGCTTCAACTTGGTTCCAAGCATTCTTATGCCTGGGCGATGAATTTCGTTACCCTTTTATTGGTCAATTCTTCTGGTTACCCTTTTGCCCACAAATTGAATAAAGTTATGTGAATAGATTACAAAACACCTAATTTTTCCAGTAATTGATCAGTTAAAAATGAAACTCTTGGAAAACTGATCAACAGGAAATTGATCAAGCAATCTCCATCTCTAACAAACACATCACTGGGTACACGAGACAAAGAGGTACTCTTCTGTTTTGTATTATCCTTGTTAGAACTCATTTTTGTGCATTTCCACCGGAGCTGATCAGACTCATAACCGATCGTTTAGGGTCCTGAGTTCTTCATTTTATCCTTAACTCACCCGGGATGACTCCATTGGTCAATTTAACGACAAAACTACGTTAGTCCTTGTTACTCACAGTACGCTACCGTCTCTGAGAATGAGATGTAGTTAAGACTAGCAAGAATCAAACAACAGTGGTGCATGTATCCAGATTTTCAGTAATATATCTTACACTTTGGACTTGCATCTTTGTCATAAACACATTAAATAGACCGTACAGTTGCCTCGTTTAGTCCTGCTATCATGACTGAATGCTTCACTGTTTACCTGATGAGGTATTCAGTGGTAATGACGAAATCAGGTGACCAGGTTCGGTTGGGCAAAACATGCAATAAAAAACAGCCACTGCGTCAATTCAATAAGAGTATGACTGGCGCGTTGCTTTCTTTGACTTGAACATTTACATTAGCCTAAGCCTGATACGCCACTGGAGCACACGGATTTCGGTTCAGAACAATTCGTACATTGAAAGCACTGTAGTATTCGCAAAATGTTCTTTGTTTGTGAGTGCAACAGAAATCTCTGTGATAACTGACCAACCGCACTAAACAGCTGTTCCATCCCATTAGGGGACTGGTCAGCAGTGTGTACTGTGTTTTTGTCCCCACAGGGACTCGAACGGCAAACTTACGGGTTTGGAGTCGGAACCGTTAAACGGTCGACGGTCAACACATTAAGCAAATAATTCAATCCGTTCAGAATATCACGTTGGATTTAGATCATTCAATTAATCGTCATCACGGCTGATGGTCCTCGGTGTGGGGTTCATCCCTTGGGAGATCGAATGGACTAAGTCAAATATAGATTTTTACATTCGCTGCCTATTTATGGCACTGGGTTAGGAATTTTTGTTCTTTTTGGTTTGCAGGTTAGTGATTGCAATCGTATAACAGTGCGTTCTCATAAGTGATTTTGATTCTAAGCCATATATCCCAACGTTCCACATCTGAAAGCCCGACCGCCCCATTGGAAGTTAGGTTCAAACTCAGTTTCTTCATCTTTTCCTTCCACCTTGCTCTGTCTTTCCACTCGATCCAACCCGATGAGTAAATAAGCCATGGTAAGATGGATATTGTCCAGGTTATCCATTGGTCGTACCATAGGAACCACAGTTGGCGCTCCGAAATACTTTTGCTTTAGTGAAAACGGTCTTCCATTTTGTCCTTAAACAGACGATGCCGCCCTCCACCCAGTGCGCTGCTCAGACGCTTCTCAGACATTGGCTTTCGAAGACAAATATTCGGTAAACACTGCATATTCAGAAAGGTCGAGTTTCGTATGTGTATGGCAACAGGTCACACACCATTGTGCATATACACATAGGTCTCATAGGTAAATTGGATGTGTCCCATCGGCATCAGAGATGTCGCCGATCAACGAACGCTAACCTTGCCCTAATCAAACTTTGAAGAAACTCTTCAACCACACATTTATCAGCGGTTTTGCAACGCCTCGATGGATTTCAGTCACTATCCAATAGAATAAAACAAACGATGCATTCATTGGTTTTGCAGCTAACGAACGATACTCGCCAATCCAGTACACTTATTTATGACACCTATGGACATACGATAAATTAAATTTTTGTATTCCCTAGGTTGAATCCTCGGATCGTTACTGTGCCACATCTGACTTCTTAGTTAAATGGTACATGCATATATATCAAGATGGTTCGTATTTTGTGAATTGATCTTCCCAATTTCAAGTCAAGTCAAGAGTGCACTTTATTCATCCAATGTGGACAAAATTTTCAGTGGAAAGAATTTTATCGCTTTTGCTTTGGCATTGCACGCTATTAAAAATGAGCTTTAAGATATGACAAATAGTTACTGAGATGATAATGAATCGGACACTGAGA